AAAAAAAAAAAAGAACTGCAGGGAAGAGGGAATTGTAGCTGCTGGCCATACGCCTGACCCAGGGCTGTGTGGCTGGCTCCCCTTCCTGAGGCTCATTAGTCCAGCTCAGAGCAGATGTCCAGTCATTGTTGAGTGGACAATGGATTTTATCATTGGATGAACGCTCTGGGTTTTAGCGCTCTCCTATTTCTGTGTTGTATTTTTTGTTAGTCCATGTTTGTCATGCGTAATGAATGCGTTCATCACACCTCAGTCTTTTGGTCCCTTGCTGAGTGTGGTATGATTGTGTTTGTGCAGCTATTAAGGCTGAGGGCAGAGCCACCGACGCTAAGAAGACGGCAGGGAAGTCTGCCTCAGGTAACGCCCACCCTGCTACAGAAGCCCAGCTGAAGCCCACTTCTGTGCTTTCAGCCTCCCTTTTCCTCTCCCACTCAACCTGTGCTGCCCTCGCTTCTGCCGTGCAGCTGACCTGAGTCGCTCCAGGAGCACTCCCACCAGCTCTGGAAAGAAAACCACCACTCCCACAGGGGCTGCCCCCTCGGCTGCAGGGGCTTCCACCCGAGTCAAGCCCACCCCACTTTCCCGGCCCTCTGTGCCTCCTGTGGACAAGAAGCCCAGCTCCTCAGCCCCTAAGCTGAGCCGCCCAGCCACTACAGCCCCTGCCCCCGATCTGAAGAACATCCGCTCCAAAGTGGGCTCCACAGAGAACATCAAGCACCAGCCTGGAGGAGGCCGGGTGAGTCGGGGCTTCCATCCTTGGCACATCATCCCCCTGCCCTACTGTGTCTGCCACTGCACAGGGGCTGCCAGCTACAGAGCATGGGCTTGGGGACCACAGCCTGGCTCTCTGGTGGCAGGAAAGGGGTGGGGTATGCTGGGCTCCTTGCTTGCCCTTCCCATCTTGGGGGCTCCTGTCCTGTCCCCGGGGGTTTAGATGGACATCTTAGCGTGGAGGCCTCAGACTTCAAGGATGCTGGATTCTTAGCCCGCACAGTGATTGTCAGGCTACGCAGAGGCTGGAGTCTGGCTCAGTTCTGCAGCTGCAGCCTGGCAGGCACTATCTGAAAAGTGCTTCAGCCCTCCTTTGGGCTGAGCTGTTACTGGTGGTCCCATTCCCCTTGTCTCTGTTCCTAGGCCTTCATGATATCCGAGTTAAAGAGGTCTTAGTAACTTGGTCTGGTGGTTTAATTCTTTTGTTTCAGTGTACCTGGAGAGTGTGATGCTCCTGCCACCCGTTGGGGGCTCACTGTGGCCATGGCAGCTCATCCGAGGCGTAGCAGCACATTGGGGGCGGGGGGGGGGCGGCACTGTGGTTTGGAAATGCTAACCCCGTGCGCACTTATGTGGACTTCTTGGCCTTGCTTCCAACCTTGCGGTGAATGATGTCCCAGCTGCTTCTTGGTGACCCAAGACTTTGGCTTACATTCTTCTCCCTACGTTGCTATGCTCAGGGTCTCTTGGCTCAGTCTGTCCTGGGAAAGGGGTGCTTTTTCCTACAGCCCAAGGGAGACCTGCTTCTGCCCGGTGGCCTGGCCTGGATTTGCGTTTTCTATGGCCTTCTTCCATTCTTAGCTTTTGGGCTCTTTCACCCTTTTGGTTTGAAATTTGCCCTCCCTTTATCTCCATCCAGGCCAAAGTAGAGAAAAAAACAGAGGCGGCTCCCACAGCTCGAAAGCCTGAACCTAATGCAGTCTCTAAAACAGCTGGTCCCATTGCGAGTGTGCAGAAATCGCCTGCTGGGAAAGTGAGTTTTATTTAGACTCACCTCTGGGAGGTAAAAGATGGTAATGTTTCTCTTCCAGCCTGAGTCACTTTCTAAAGCACAACAGAATTGCACTTTGTAACTTGTCTTTAACTCGCTTCCACTGCTTCCCTGTGTTCCCTCTTCTGTTTGATGACTCACCCATCAGCAAAGTTTTGTACTTGGCACACTTAGAGTGCCAAGTTGGAAACCTAATAGCTCTTTTTTATTTGGGGGGCAGAGGGGTGCCAGGAATCAAACTCAGGTGCTCTCTATCAATAAAATACATCATCAGCCTTTTTTGAATTTTTTATTTTAAAGCTGTATGTGGTGGCATACACCTGTAATCCCAGCATTTGGGAGGCTGAGGCAGGAAGATCTTTGCAAGTTTGATACTAGCCTGGGCTACAAAGTGAGCTCAAGGCCATCCTGAATTGCATAGTGAGACCCTGTCTCAAAAAGATGGAGGAAAAAAAAAGTCCAGTTGGTACACATGCAGACATGTGGCACTCCCAGAGTGATTTCTCAAAAGAGTTGGTGACATCTGAGGCCCTGATGGCCCTTACAAAACTGCCTACAGCAAAGCTTTGTTTCTCCTGGTTCCCATGTCATCTTTAGCTGCTAACTCGGATATTCATCCAGTACAAACCCCCTCAATACAAGGAGTTTGGCAGAGGCAAACAGAAGAAACCCCAGGCCTCTGGCCCTCAGGTCCAGTTGGGGAAGTTGCGAATCACTTCGAGAGGCCTGTAGGGCCTATCAGACAGGCTCTTTTGTCATCACTGAGGTTGAGAAGAAGGTAGGAAGTGGCTCTCAGTAGATTTCTGTATCCTGTGGGGAGGTCTCAAGTTTGAAGGCTGTGACATTATGAAGCATGAAGGCAAGAAGTAAGCTGGCAGCTGTTCCTTCTCAAGAAGAACTCTGCTCCAGCCCGAGAGCCAGGTTTCCCGGAGTCACTGGTGAACAAGTGTGGTTGTGCTCAGGGTCACACTCCTGGTGTTCCTGCCTACAGCTGTTCTTTCTGCATATGAAACTCACAGGATATGGGGTTAGGCTTCTAGAGAGTTCTAGAAAGAAGGGTGGTGGACTTTAGAATCAAAAAGAAGTTCTTTCCAGGCGTATAAAATATTTATAATCCTGACTACTTAGGCTTAAATACATCAGAAATCTGAGCTCAGCCTGGCAACTTCCTAGGACTGTTTCAAAGCCAAAAAGAGGCTAGGAATGGAGTTCAGTGCAGGGCCCTGGGTTAAGTTCCCAGTACCAGAAAAATAATGCATCTGGGTTGGGCATGATAATATAGCCTATAATCCCAGTATTTGGGAGGCTGACGCAGTAACAACTCTGTAAAGTCAAGAGCAGACTGGGCTACATAGTAAATCAAAGGCCAGCCTGAACTGCATAAGGAGACCCTTTGTCAGAAAGCAAATGCACCCACCTGACAAGCACAAGGTCCCAAATTTAATCCCTGGTACCACAAAGCAAAACAAAATAATGATATAGCTAGTGCAAAACTTCTGTTGCTGTCTTTCTGGGTTGGGCCTGCGGTGGCCGTGAGGCCTGTGCTGCCCTGTTGTCCTGCTTCTGTTTGCATCTGCACAGCCCCTCTTCCTTCCTGGTAGCACCGGCTTCTCCGAGCAGTGTGGCGGCCTCGGGCGTAGGGACAGGTGCAGAGGTCAGTGCGCTCTGGGCTTGGGCCTGACCTGCACACAGGTGGGCAGGGCAAAGCCAAAGAAGGGGCGTGTGGCCTTGTGTGTCACCACAGTTCCTCAGGCAAAGTGAGGTCCACGCATCCCCTGCAGTGTTGGTGTAGCTGTGTCCTTTGTTCCTATGTCCCTTCCCTTGCTTGATCCTTCCAGTCTTCGTTCTGTGCTGTCCTTCACCTGCTCTGCCACAGTAGGGATGGAGATGCAGCCCCTCTCTGCCGCCGTGGCCCTGTGTAGCCTGCCTGCCTGCCTCGTGTCACTTCTAACCAGCTTCTCCCTTTGTGTTGTTTTTCCTGTTCTCTGATACTCCAGGTCCAGATAGTCTCCAAAAAAGCGAGCTACAGCCATATTCAGTCCAAGTGTGGTTCCAAGGACAATATTAAGCATGTCCCTGGAGGTGGGAATGTAAGTATACTCGCTGGCATCTGAGACACAGCCTGCTGTGGGACCCTGGTGGCCAGGCTGCAGCACAGGACAGAAGGCAGAACAGTCAATAGAGGGTGGCCTGGGTGCTAGGGGCAGTAGAGGACACTTACAGGAAAGATCTCACCTTGCTGTCCTGGGTGAGCCACTCTCCTTTCCCGATCCTCGAGTCCTTGCCTTTGTGAAGTGAGAATTAGTCCGATTCTGCTCCTCCCTCACCTCTTTCCCCTTTGTGTGGGTCACATCTCCCTCCTCCTCTTTCTCTCCTTGCCTTCTTGTCCCTTTGTGGTCTCTATTCTCCTTCCCTTGATTAGCTGGTCATGGTAGCATGTACCCGTAAGCCCCAGCATTCGGGGAGGCTGAGACAGGAGGCTGTCAATTTGAGCTCAGCCCGGGCAGCTTCGTGAGCCCCTGTCTTAACGCCGTGTGCATTTCCCTTGTCTCTATGAGTGCCTGCGCTCCAGGGCTCCTGCCTGAGCTGTTGGAGCCATCCGGGGCCCAGCCTGCACTGCTTCTCCTCAGCCCCGTGGCAGAGAACATCCATCTGCATCTCCTGTGGGCTCGCTCTGTCCCCATCCTTTCCGTCCTCGGCGGGTGACACCCTGACCCACGCATACCTTCTCTTCCCCCATGCCCCGTTCCCAGCCTCACACTCTGCCCTGGCCTTCCGCAGCCTGTCATTGCTGTGGGAGACTTCCTGTCCCATGGGAGCCTGGCCAGGTGACGGCCCCAGCTGGCTCCTGAGATAAGGCTGGCACAGAGAGCCCCTGAGGGCCCCGAGACACTGACCCTCCAGTCTCCTAGGGCTCTTGGTCCCAGGAGATGGGAAGCAGAGCTGGCTCCCTCGAGCATGAGATGCAGGCTGATTCGCATGTGGCCTGCTGTGTGCTCCAGAGCTCTGAAGACGGCCATCGCCTCCTTCGATGTTTTTTTCTCGCTGTGCAGTTCAGGCTAGTCTGGAACTCAGAAAGATCCTCCTGCCTCAGCCTTCCAAGTGCTGGGGTTACAGGCACAAGGGTGCGCCGTTACGCCCTATGATCTTTCCACGCCACCGCGCCGCCACCTGCACATGGCTACCAGCAGGCTTTTCTTAGTGTGGAAGCATTGTTCAGGGCGTCCACGAACAGCACTGCTGCTCTGACCAGTGCTTTGTGGCAGGAGGGTGAGAGCAGTGGCCATGGAAGCCTTCAGGACGGTGTGCCTCCCCTCGCCCTTCCACATCACCACCTCCTCGGACAGCCTCCACACGTAGCTTGCGCACCATTACACACATGCACATGTATGGCTGTGTGCAAGTTCTGCGCATACTAGTTCCAAGTGGGGTGCCAGGCAGCAGGGGAGGGCAGAGGGAAGGTTCCTCTCTCCATGCAGCCGCTTCAGTGGCAGCGCAGGTTGCAGATTGGTGGCGGTGCTCGTTCTAGTTCCCCAGCCCTGGGCACAGTGCTGGCAGCAGATGTTGATCGAGTGTGTGCCCGGGAGCCCTGCTGCGAGGGCTCAGGCCCACTGCCTGTGCCAGCTGTGCTGGAGGAGGGCGTCCTTGGGGGAGCAGCCATAGCTGTGCTGGCTGCGGGCTGTGCAGGGGAGCAGCAGGTGTTGGGCCAGCTGCGAGGGCACAGTCACGGTGGCTGCCCAGTGCTGGAGTGCGGGGTGATGGGGGAGCTGTGGCTCAGGAGGCATCCTTGCTAAGGGAATGAGCTCAGCCTTTAAGAAAAAGTTTTATTGTAAATATTTTTAAAATGTATACAAGAAAAACTACTCAAGTGAATTGGTACATACTGTATGCAGTTTACTGCCTGTAAGGTGAATGCTGGGGCTCCAGTGTTGACGTGCGTCAGGCACTGACAGCTGTGCATGCCAAGGCATCTTAGTAAATCTTAAAATTCTTTTTTTTTTTTTTTAATCTTAAAGTTCTTGTACTCAAGTGCTCCTCCATAGTTTTCTTTCCTCAGTCCTGCGGCTTGAACCCAGGACCTTTGCACTGTATACCGAGCCCTGTTTTTTGGTTTATTTTTTGATTTTAAGACAAGGTCTCACTATGTGGCCCAGGCTGACCCTGTGTGGCCCAGGCTGGCCTTGAGGCGATCCTCCTGCCTCAGTCTCCAGAATGCTAGGATTACAGGTATGCACCACCATGCCTGGCTCTTGTTTTATATTTTATTTTGATACAGAGCTTCCTAGACTGTCCATACTGGGCTCAAACCTGGGAACCTCTTGTCTCAGGCTCCCAGAGTGCTGGAATTACATTGGCCTGTGACACCATGCCTGTTTTGTTTTGTTTTGATGAGTTGACTGTCTTTTAATTAGTAGGCTTTCCTAGAATCTGGATTCTGTCAATTGCATCCCATGTTTTTTATTTATAACATAAATCCTTTGTCTTTGTGGAGATGGAACGTCCTGAGCTGTACCCCAACCCTTTATATTTTATTTGGAGACAGACTCCTGCTAAATTGCTCAGAGTGGCCTCCTTGGAATCCTCCTGCACAGTTGTCCTGAGCAGCGCCCCCACCTGTTGAAATGGACTTTTTACGTTTTTCCCTTTGTTTGTTTGTTTATTTATTTATTGTGTATTTAGGACAGGGTCTCATAGTGATCCTCTTGTTTTCAGCCTCCCAAGTGCTGGGATTACAGGCCTGTGCCTCCATGCCCAGTCTCAATTGCCGTCTCAGCACACGGGTGTGTGTGTGTGTGTGTGTGTGTGTGTGTGTGTGTGTGTGTGTGTGTGCAGCGGGGGGTGCAGCATAGCCCACTGGGGATCGGACCCCTGCCACTGCGCTCTGCCTGAGCAGGCGCTTCAGTTCCCTAAGCTGTCAGGCCAGCCCCCTTGCCCCTCAGTTTTGGCAAGGCCTCATCCTGTTGTTGTCACACTCTTGTGATTTTGTTGGTAAGTTGGTCTGTGGGCTCAAGTGCATCATGATGTGAGGGAGTCTCAGCCCAAGATTGCTTCCTTCTTTGGCTGGATTACAGCTGCTAATCCAAACTTCTCTCACCCACTGGGCCAGCAGAACAGCGTCCTGCTGGGTGGTACAGGCTGGGCTTCTGCATGTAATTTCCCCTGCATTACCGTCCTGGGTGCCGGTGCTCTGGGCACTTGTCCCTGCATCTGGGTTCTAGAGGAGGAGGCAGCAGTTAAACAGATGGAAGCTCCTGGCAAGCGCAAGGGTCTGAGTTCAGCCCCCAGTTTGGGGGGAGAGGGAGATGAGGGCTCACCCTGGAGGAGGCAGCACGGGCAGCTGAGCAGAGACTCTCCAGGCACACGCAGCACTGCTTGGCAGGCGAGGCAGGCCTGGGCAGATCGTGGCCTTGGTGGGCCTTGATCCTAGCACCTGGGAGGCCGAGGCGCAGTACCCCCAATTCGAGTCCTACCAGGCTGTGTGCTGAGAGTATCTGAAGGTGCAGAGGGCACGGCCATTCAGTGCTGTAGCGCCTCTGCCTCGGCTTCTCCAAAGTTTTCCCCCTTTTTGGGTTCAAACCACAAAAAGGAGCAATAATAGTAATAACGAAAGGCACTAATGTGTGGCACTTTCCTCTTACAAATTAGGAGGTTTAGTTTTTAGTCAAAATATGCAGTGCTGGAGGCTGTGGTAAGAGGACTGAGCCTCGATGTCTGTCATCCGAGGCAGCATTGCTGGTAAGCGGGTTGTCATCAAGGACCTGAGAATAAGTGGTGGCACACACCTGTGACCCCATGTTTAGGGAGGCTGAGGCAGGAGGGTTGCAGATTGGAGACCCTCCTGAGCAATTTCACTTTAAGACCCTGTCATAAAGTAAAACTCAAAAGGGCTGGAAAAAACAGTCCCAGTGCTTGCCCGGACATTTCTCCCAAGGAGGGTTCAGAGACACAAAGATTGCTGCTGCGGTATTTGTAGAAATGAACACCTCTGTGGAGGAATAACCTCCGTGTTCATCGTGAGTGGTGGGACCAGTTGATTCAGAGCAGAGATGATTCTGTGCCCTTCCATCCTTCATGGGAAACTGGTGCCTGCATGGAGTGGACAGTTATATATGGCCGTGCAGAGAGGGGAGGGTCCACACTGGTACTGCACACTTGGGAGGCTGAGGCAGGAGGGTTGCGGTTCAAGCCTAGCTTGGACACCTTTGTGACTTACTGAGATCCTGTCTCAAAATTTAAAAATTTTTAAAATACAGTGGGGTTGTAGTTCCTGAGTTCAGTTCCAATACCACCACTTCTCCTCTGTGACCCTTCCAAAAAAAAGAAAAAAAGAAACAGGTCAAAATATTATTCCAGGTGAGCCTTCTGGCAGCAGTTGTGGGGATATTTTGAGTTGGAACATGGACATTTCAGGAAAGCTGTGCCGTCCGGCTCTGGGGCAGGGTTGGGAGAGGAAGTGGGATGTGGGGTTTGCTCAGCTGAGCTGGAGTCGAGCCAGGGCCAAAGCCAGCACAAACCAGTGGCTCTTGTACCCACTAGGTAACAAGGCTGGTGTGGAGCAGACTGGGGTGGGAACGTAAAGAGGCTGCGAGGAAGCAGGGCCAGGAGGTGCACAGGCCGTGTGGGCGTGGCCCCCCTTCCCTGTTGTCCGAGGGGCACCACGTGCTTCCTTTCCCTCTTCAGGTCCAGATCCAGAACCAGAAGGTAGACATCTCCAAGGTCTCCTCTAAGTGCGGGTCGAAGGCGAACATCAAGCACAAGCCTGGTGAGTGGGATGCTGGGCCCGGCTGGTGTCCCCACCTGTGGGCAAGGGCATCTGCTTGCTTCCACGAGAACAGCCTGCTTTCTTTTCTTTGTAATACTGGGTCTTGAACCCAGGGCCTTCCTACTGAGTTTTGTCCCCAACACATTTTTAAAATTTCATACAAGGTCTTGCAAGTTGCCCAGGATGAGCTCAAATATGCAGTCCTCCTGCCTCAGCCTCCCAGAGTGCTGGAATCCCAGGCCGCCTCATTCAGACCTCCCCTTATAGTATCTTGGGCACACAGGCTTGGATAGTCTCAACTCCTCCAGGAGCCTGGCATTGTGCACAGGATTCATTCCCTGGCACGCTCTGTGACCAAGTGCTCTGGTTCCAGGTGGAGGAGATGTCAAGATTGAAAGCCAGAAGCTGAACTTCAAAGAGAAGGCCCAGGCCAAGGTGGGATCGCTGGATAACGTGGGCCACCTGCCTGCAGGAGGCACCGTGAAGGTAGGGAGTGGGCCACCCAGGAGCCACGGTGGGGGGTGGGGGTGCTAGGTTCAGGGTCCTGGCAGGTCCCATGGGGAGTGCAGCTTCCTCAGTGCAAGTACATGGGGGCTGAGTGTCACCAGGTAGCCCGGGCAGGAAGAGCCTCTGTGGGCAGCGTCGGTTGGCACCGCCCCTCAGTCTCCAGGAGCCATACTCACCCACGCTGTTGCTGTGTCCCATTGTCCTCCATCAGCCCAGGAGGCTGGAGAGGGGAGCCCTGGCAGCAGCCGCGCCTGGGGCTGGGTGCAGAGGCCCGGTGTCCTGGGTCCTGCACGCTGGCTGGGCTCCCTCCCTCCCTCCTCCCCGTGCCCCTCCTCGCTTTTCTTCCCTTCCTCCTTCCTTCCTCCTTCCATCCCTGCCTCCACAGTGCTGTGAGACCTCGGTGTGCGCCAAGGTGCTGTCTGTCCTTTGTTCCATGTCATAGTGGCTGGGGAACCGTGAGGTCTCGAGCTGCTCCAGGGCAGAGTGTGAAGGCAGGTGACCGGAGCTGCCGCCCGCCTCCCGCTGGCGTCCTGGGCTCTCGGGTTGTGGCCACCAAACCTGATACCCGTCCGCATGGAGTCTGTCTGCCTTGGTAGCGCGCTGCTTGGGCTTGGGCTCTCAAGCCTGGGCGAGGGCACGCAGACCCTCGGGCTCGTCCATTTCTTCTCAGTCCAAGCCTTGTGGGGTGTTTCAGCTTGTTTTGAGATGAGGACTCACTAAATTGGCCAGACTGAGGTCTGACTTGAATCCTGCTGCAGCCTCCCAGCCTGAGGGAATGACAGGCGTGTACCCCCAGGTTCAAGTAGTCTCTTTATTTACGTTCTGTCTCTTTATTATTTTTTATATTATTTTTCTAACACACAGGTCTGTTTCTTTGGCCTACGAGCTCCAAGTCCACAGAGGAGTTTCAGTGGCTCTCAGCTGTCCCCACTTCATTCGCTCTTCTTTGACCCCTCTACAGAGCCTCAGGGACCTCACCCCCTTGTCCTCCTGGACCTCGCCTTCTCGCACACCTTCTTCCCTCCTCCCTTGTCTCGGGGCCCATAGTGGTGGGTGCCATTGAGGAGGCCACAGTGTCAGTAGGATGCAGCCACCTAAGTGACTAGCGCTGAGGCTGCTCTAAGAGCGTGGGCTGTTCCAGGATGGCTCACACTTGTATGGCTTGGCATTCTGTGGCCAGTTTGTCCCAAGGATGCCAGGAGAGGGCAGGCATCATGAGATAGAGGGCCAGGTGGCGGGTGGGGACTGCGTGTGACACCACTGCCATCTCCATCCCACTCCCTGCTCACTGACCCCACACCGTCTCCATGTTTCATTGTAGACTGAGGGCGGTGGCAGCGAGGCCCTTCCGTGTCCAGGGCCCCCCGCTGGGGAGGAGCCGGCCGCCCCCGAGTCTGCGCCCGATGCTGGCGCCCCTGCTCCAGCTGGGGGCCTCAGTGGCCTCACCACCCTGTCAGGGGGTGGTGACCAAAGGGAGGCCCCGACCTTGGACAGCCAGATCCAGGAGACAAGTAAGTGGCTGGGCTCGGCCTGAGGGCCAGCCGGGGGCCTCGCCACTGGCCGGAAATTGAACTCCTTTGTTTTTTGACTGGAGTGTGGTCTGCATTTTAACAAAGTCACCTTTTATTTTCCAGGCATCTAATGATGACATTCTGGTCTCGTCTTCCGTCTCCCCTGTGTCCCTCTTTGTGTCTCCCCGCCCTCTCCCTCTCTTCCTCCCGTGTCCCTGCAGATTGAGACCTACAGGCTGACGTTCCGGGCAAATGCCAGGGCCCGCACCGACCATGGGGCGGACATTGTCTCCCGGCCCCCTCACTTCCCCGGCTCTCGCGCCCTTGGCTCCCTCTCCCGGGCTGCCCACTAGACCTGTGAGTGCCCGTTTGGGTCGGGCAGCCCTGCTAGGCCCCTCCTGGCTCCAGGCAGTGGCAGGCCCGGCCCCTTCCTGCTTTGCTCCTATCCCATTGCTAGCCACTGCCCCGCTGCAGGGTAGGCAGAAGAGTTGGGGAACCTTGTGGATCCAGGAGGGAGGAACTGGATTCCTACTCCGTTGTTTGGTTTTTTGGACCAAACCTAAAAGAAACTGACATACTCTCCCTCCTTCCCAGCCAACGTGGAGGGATGAGCAGGGTGGGTTCCGGGTGGTGGCCCTGCGCACCAGAGCCTGCCAAGTTTCCACCTTACCTTGTGACCCACAATGGTACCCACCATGCAGGCAGCACCAGCCCCCCACTCCCCACATTAGTTAGGGGCCGCTGCACTGCACACTGCTGCTTAGCATACCTGTCTAGCTGTCATCACACCCTTTCATGTGTCCCCAGTACCTCGTAGCCAGTGGAATAGTTGTACAGGTTGAAGCCATGTCTAAGAGGGTCTCAGTAGGTGCAAAGGGAGTGGGGAGGGAGAAGCCAGGCCTCCACCAGGAGGGCGAGGATGTCGGTGCTGCCCTGCGTGGGGTGCACACAGCCGGGATGCCATGGGCGGGAGCGAGGTGCGGGGTGGCTGTGTTGGGGTTCATGTGTGCTGCTTTTCTTCTCTAACCAAGAGGCTGGGTTTGGCATGTGTCTCATTCCCTGGGATTTGGTGGTCACTGCAAGGCAAGGCCAGTGCTGGAGAAGCAGGAGTGGGCTATGGGGTCAGAATCCCACAGCCTGACCTGCCACCCTGGGCCTTGTCCAGGGGACTGTGAGGTGTCAAGTGTTATGTGGACAGTGGGGAATCAGGTCTGGAAATTGGAAAAAGGCATGAGACTGGGGCCACGCACTCCCTTCTGGCTGAGTGAAGGGGCCAGCTGCATTGAGATCCCGGGGACCGAATGGACACAAAGATTCTTATTGCACTTGTATTTTTTGTATTAAAAGTTTGCATGGTTTCTAATAAAGGATTAAAACAGAAGTTTGTAGTGAAGTGGCCTGGGCGCTTCCAAGGGCTTCTCCAGAGGGCATCTTCTGCTGCGCAGACTTGCCTGGGAGGTGGCCGCAGCGGTGGCAGCTGGCCTGGACGTCTCTGGCCATCCTCTCTACGTTGAGGGGAAGGTGCCCTGCGCCAGACGCTACTTCTTTGGGAAGGCGCCTTTTGGACAGTGAGCTGGGCTGCTCCCTCCTCTGCTGTGCCAGTGACTTCAGAGCACTGGAGCCATTGGCAGGAAGTGGGGAGAAGCAAGCAGCAGTGCTGAGGTGGGGAGGCACCGGGCTGCAGTTACTGCTCCCTCCCTGAGGCCACTCCTGGGGCTACTAGCATGCTGAACTCTGGCAGGCTTCTTGGCCAGGGGTTGGGAGAGGACAGTAGCCAATGTGGGCAGCTTCCTTGGCAGGGCCACAAGTCTACCTGAGGCTATCTGGCCATTGTTGAGGGTCCCAAAAGCCAGAGGACCTGCGAAGGTTGACCCACCAGGTAGGGACTATTGGCCCCTGCGTGATGGGGACTTTGCAGCCACTTCGGGCTGGAACATTTCTCTACTTCCCAGCCATTACCCATGTCTGTGATTCTGTTGTACTGATTTCGAGTAAATAAAGCTGCCTGATATTCCACACACAGCCCTGCGTGTAGCCTATCTGTCCCCCTCCTTCCGGTGGATCCACCATGTACTGCACACACCAGTCTGTGGCTGTCACCAAGGCAAGCCTCTACAATGTCACCATAAGCTGCTGCTCAGCTCTCGACATGGACCTGGTGGAGGAGGTGCCGTGGCCCTCAGAGCGGCGCCCCTAGTGGAGAGCGATGCTCACAAGGGATAAATAGAACTTTATTTTAAATAAACATTTGCACTCTGTACACAGCCCCAGCGGAAGAGGGGCTCAGTCGTCCGCTGTCTTGCGCACGTCAAAGCTGCCACAGGGTCCTCGCAGCAGCTCTGCCACCAGCGCAAGCAGCTGCCCATGCTCCTGCTGTACAATGGGCGGAAGCGCAGCCAGCTCACTGCGCAGGCTGCGCTCTACCATGCGGCCCAGGGCCCGGCGCAGCTCCCGAAGCAGCCGCACGGTTCTTGAGTCCCCCTCAAGTCGCAACAGGTCACTGTCACTTAGGGAGACGGTGGCACGTCGTCCATCATCTGGGGGGAAAGAGATGGCAAGGAATTGATGGGAAGCCAGGCCTGAGGACACGGTGCAGGGTAAAGATGTGCAGACACCCACCCCGGACGTGGATGTCCCCGTCGGTCAGGAGCAGCACTGCTAGAGGGTGCACCTGGGAGGAGTCCCGCACAAAAACGCTGCCATTGGACTTGACGGCCATGAAGTAAGTCAGCCACCGGCTCCTTAAGCGCGTGGCTTCCCTAGGGAAGCAACACAGGGCTGGATGAGGCTGCCCCTCAGCCCTCCCCAGCTGCCTATCTTGTCTTGCCTGTCCCTCACCTGTTAATGGTCGACTTGTGCAGCAGGATGTTGCCAGATTTGGTCCTGTAAGTGACACTGTTGGGCTTAAACTTCCCCTGCCGGGTCACCTTGCCCTGCCGCACCTGCAGGGGCGGAGAAGGTGAGCAGGACACAGGGCAGGGCAGGGCAGGAAGCCAGGCGTCACTCTGCCCCACCAGGACGCACCTGAATGAGGTTGGGGTACAGCCCGGCCATGAGCACACCCTTCACCAGCTCCTCCTCCTCACTGTACTCATTGCACTGTGCTGAGGGCAGCGTGCAGTCCGAGGGCTTTCCCACCAGGAAGGCCTCGTAGATGTTCTCAGAGAACTGCTTGATGAGCCCTGCAGGGAAGCCAGAGTGAGCGGGGGCGCTGTGGGGTGGGTGCGTGGGCCGTGTGGGCAGGCGGCCGGGGCTGACCGTGGATGAAGCGCAGGCTGGGTGCGTACAGCAGGTTCTCCTCCAGGTAGTTCTCCCGCGACGTGCGGTCCTGCCAGCGCAGCACCTCCTCCCAGCCGGCCACAGCACGCACAAAGGCCAGATGGTCACTGCCACTGTCATGGCTCAGCAGTGCCTTCACCTGGGGAGAGATGGCACCGGGGTACTGGGTGGGGGCCAGGGCGCCTTGCGCATGCAGAGGATGGGCAGGAAGGGACAAGCTCTGACCTTGTCTACCTCTGCACGGTTCTGCAGGCTGCTGCTGAAGGGGTCCCGGGTGAGGCAGGAGACCACCACCAGCAGCGGGTGCAGGCAGCGGAAGATGGCAGCCAGCACTATGGCCTTGGCCAGCCGTGGGTCCGTGGAGATGTGGGCCAGGCGCTGGCCCAGGGTGGTCAGGTACTCGCGCTGGTCTAGCACACCTGCAAGAGCAAGGCTGTCAACCCCAGCCAAGCCCCCCAGCTCTGCTCTGCCTAGCCCAGAACCCCACACACCAATCTCCTGGAGCAGGATCACAGCCTCATCCACTGCCTTGATGTTGGGGCTGTCCACGGCCTTGGAGAGGAACTCCACTGCCTAGCAAAGACAGGGGGTGCCCGTGAGCCTCGTGCCACCTGCCCCAGCCCAGTCCCTTACCCACCACATCAGCCGCACCGTCTTCTCAGGCATGTGGATCTTGGCCTGCAGCACCAGGTTCTCCAGGGGTGTGCGCAGGATCTCGGGCACCTGGAAGGGGGCCATCTTCTCCAGCCGGCTCCGTGGGAACAAGTGATAGGCGAAGCCTGACTGGCAGCGGCCCGCCCGGCCTCGGCGCTGGATCACGTTTGCTCTCGACACCCACACGGTCTCCAGGCAGGACACCTGGGGGAGGGCAGGTGGTTGCCAACTCGCCAGCGGCTTTGCAGTGCTTTCCCACAGCTCCAATAAAACCCGCAGCGGATCCCCCACAGGGACAGACCCCAGGCAGGGCCTCCACACAGCACGGGCCTAACGCACAGCTGGGGCAGGCCACCAGGGAACTGGCAAGGCCCAGGAAAGAAGCACCACCTTGGTCTTGAGGTCGTAGCGCTCCTCCTTATGCAGACCGCTGTCCACTACATGTACAATGTCGTTGACCGTGATGGAGGTCTCCGCAATGTTCGTGGCCAGGACAATCTTGCGCACCCCGACTGGAGGCTGCTGGAATATGGCCTTCTGGTCCATCATGGGGATGTTGGAGTGCACTGACAGGCAGCAAGACGCATGCTGGTTACGGGCACTGCTCCTGCCACAACCAGCCCCGCCCAGGAGGGCCTTCTGACCCCACCTTGGTGAAACTGAGGACCAGATCAATGAGATGCCCCAGGAAAAGTGGTGCGACTGGTCAGAAGCCTGTGCCCTCCAAGCCACCGCTGGGCCATGCCCAGGACGTAGGGCCGAGTCTGCTTGCAGCTCTCACCTGGCAGAATGAGGTACTTGCTCTCGTGAATGCCCAGGGCCTCCTGCAGGCGCTGCTGCACTCCCTTGATCTCCTGCCACCCGGGCAGGAAACACAGGATCCCACCTGCAAAGGGCCTATATGCATGAGCCAAGTGCTCTTGCCGGTGGGCAGTGGCTGGTGGGCACTGGGGCGGGCATGGCTGGGTGAGGGTAGAGCACCCACCTGGCTCTCCATGGGCATCAATATGCAGAACCAGGTCAGTCACGAGGTCCAAATCGAGGGCACATTCATCCTCAGACTGGGGAGGGGGCAGAGAGGCTGCAGTTACGTCAATGCCGACCAACCCTCACGTCCTTGCCACATGGGCAGCACTGTTCTCACGTCTTACCAAGGACACTTGGCGAGAGCGTGCCCCAGGGCACCTAACACAGGGACGGGGAAGGGATCTGCAGGGCAGGCCTAGGCCACAGGGCACATTTCTCTCACCTCATGGTGCCGGTGTCGGTGTGGGTACTGGTGTTTGCCCAGTTTGACCAGGATGTCCTCCAGGTAGTGCTCCTTCACAGGGTACATGAAGCCAGGCACCTTGATGACAGGGCAGCCACCAAAGTAACGGGAAAAGCGCTCATTGTCGCCTGTGGCGCTCATGAGCACTAGCCGCAGGGCAGGGTTGAGCCGCTGCAGGCCCTTGAGCAGGATGAGGAGGAAGTCCGTGTTCACATCGCGCTCATGGACCTCGTCCACGATGACGTGGCTCACGCCCTCCAGGCTGGGGTTGCTCTGCAGCTTGCGCAGCAGGATGCCCACGGTGCAGAAGAGCAGAGCCCCGCCCCGCGCTGGGGGCTTGCTCTCCAGGCGCACCTGAAAGCCCACATTCCGGCGCAAGGAAGGGCCCAGTTCGTGGCTGACCCGCTGTGCCACAGACACAGCTGAGATGCGGCGGGGCTGCGTGATGATCACATTGCAGCGGGCCCCACGGCCCTCGGTCACATAGCGTTCCAGCAGCAGCTGGGGGATGCGCGTTGTCTTCCCACAGCCTGTGTCACCAGAGATGACCACCACGGGATGCTGCTCAATGGCATTGAGGATGGTGTCCCGGTGAGGGTCCACAGGGAGCTGGGGCGCTTCCTGCCAGATGGGCCCCCGTCGCCGCCACAGCTCTAGCAGGCTTTGGCTCAAGCGTACCTCCTCGGCCTCAGTGAGAGGCACAAAGGGCTTGCCAGTGATGGGGTCATTCAGCGGCCCCGAGTCTTTGCCCAGGGGCAAAAGGTCCTCACTCTGCAGCCGGAGCTCAGGTGAGAGCCAGGAATTTTCCACAGGGTACTGGGGAACAAGGAGACATGGAAAGTGGTGACAGGGAAAGGCAGTCTTCCTCCACTATGGGGCTCACTGGCTCAGGTGCTAGGGCCCCACCTGTGGGCAGAGGACTCAGACCACGACCACCCTGGGCCCTCCTGGGCCACTGGAAGGCAAGGAGGGGATGGCAGACGGCCACTCACATGGTTTAGGAAGGTCTCTATCTTGCGGAGAATGGGCTCTGGCACCTGGATGGTGCATGGCCGGCGCTGGGTCTCGCCCAGCTCCCTCAAAGAGGCCAGGTTGTACATGGCATGGGTGAGTGGTTCGTTGTTCCTGTCTACCAGGCCCAGGCTCTGAAAGGAGATGTGGGCTTCAGGCTGTGCTCCAAGTTCACATAAGCTTGGAGCACCATAGAAATGCGAGGTCAAGCAATAGCAGAGTTTGGTTTTGGGCTGAAAACCACAGTGATAAATTAGGAACCAGGAAATCAAGAATCTCTACAAAATGAGTTAATTTTAAGTAGGTAGCTTAAGAGCTAAACCTCTGTGCCCCAGCATGGTGCTGAGGACAAAGCTCTCCCACCTCACAGGGCCTGGCACAGGACCCCAGGCACCCCCAAGCAATACTTCACGGCCTTGCACACACCTCCTGATCACTGCATGGCCCTCCATCCCACGCATGACCCATCCAGACAGGACAGGACCTTCCCAAAAGGCAGCAACCTGGTAACATGAGTCTTTAAAGGCGAAGACGACCTTGTGTCCCCACATGCCTAGAGTCATTAAGAGTCCCGCGTTCCCCCACCTGGCGAGGTCAGCTCTGCTGTCTTCCAAGGCCAGAACCATGTGCACCCTCCCTAGGAACCCTTTCCCTCCTCGAGCTTCCCCCTCTTACCCCAGGCACAGAGAAAGGGCCTCTGGCTTGATCAGGGCAGGTTGCAACCAGCAGCCTCTGATGAACTAAGCAGCCTTTTGGCTTGTGTGTCACAACTGCCACTGCCAGGAGCCACTCCTCCCGCATGGTCTCTGCTGCCTTACACCATCGCTGTGGGGCCATCCCACAGCTCCCTGCACCCTGCCCTCCTCCACCAGGCCCGCACTGCTACCCCGCTTGCTTGACCTGCACCATGGCTCCCAGGGCCACGCTCGCTCTGTACTAGCACCTACTGCTGCAGACCTGGCTGTCCAGGCACGGTGCAGTGGCCACTGTGGCAGAAGCACAACTCTGCCTACGCTGTGACACTCCCTCCTCCCTGCTCCTCCCTGCATCCCCAGCTCAGGTCACAGCTCCTTCTGCACCTGAGTGTGCTGCCCCTTGCAGCTCCGCACCGCTCAGGAGGAGCAGGCCCTTTCTAGCTATATTCTGGACTGGCCCAGCACTGCCCAGGGGCCAAGGGGAACCTTTAGGAAGAGCAGCCCAGGTGGCTGTGTGTCAGGGCAAAGGCCTGGTGTGGCCGTGTCCCACAGGGCATGACCTGGGATGCTCTTGGACTCACCTTCAATTTTTTACAGGCCAAAGCTGCTGCCTTATTCTCAGCCTCTGCTTTGCGGCGCCCTTTGGCAACAAACGTCATGGGACAGGGCCAGAGTAGCGTGAGTGTAGATAGCTTGGTCTTGGTACCCACGGTGTGGAACTGCATGAGGTTCTACACAGAAAGTAGGCAAGGTCATAAGGACAGAAGCAAAGGATAATGGTGACATTTCAGGACCCCCAGGTCCCCAAAGAGCTAGCCATGGTCTCAGGTGGTGCCAGTCCCTGGAATCTCACTGCACAGCCAGAAGCAAGCTGGACATCCACTGCCACTGTACCTCAGCAGAAGTTAGTACCCACACCATGCCAGCCCATGCCCTGCCTGGAACAAAAAGCCTTGCTTAACCCAAGCAGCGGCAGATTCACCCTTCCCTAAGACCCCCACTGCCCGTCCCCATTACGGTCTTTGCTCCTGGGTACTGAGCACGGACACACACGGTGCAAGCATTTGTACCCAGCACCTGCATGCCAAGCTACATTCCCAGCCCTCTAAATATTATTTAGACAGGGTTCACTAAATTGCTAGACTGCCTAGGCTGGGCCTGAACCTATGATAACTCCAGCCTCAGCTCCCAGGGTACTGGGATTAGTGAGCGCTGCTGTGTCTCACTTCTGTTTTAGATTTTGCTTCCATCCCTGCTGTGTCACCCCCAATTGCACCCTGCTCCTGCCCTGCCAGTGGAGCCCCGAGACGCCTTTCATCCGCATCTCAAGGGACACAGGGGAGCGAGCTGCCCTGATGCACTCTCCCAGGAGGCCCAGCTCACCTTAGCCGTAGATGACGATGTTGCAATCTGAATCACCTTGGCCAGAAGGTTCTTGGGAAGTGGAAACTGGGTCAGGGCCCTCACAGCACTGTCATCATCTGTCATTTCAAATGAACCCCCCCTGGGAAGACCAAGAATTTGGGTGCAAAAGTTTGCTTTTCTTCTGGGCCAATGTCCCAAGGCTCTGAGACCTGGGGGCTGCGCCATGCAAGGGTGAGGGGACAGGTAGAACAGAGTGGAGGGCAGCAGCAGACAGAGGGGCGCAGAGAATGTGGGGACCTATGCAAAGGGACACCCAGTCGTAGCACAAGACCATGGTAACTACAGCAGGTGTCCCACAGATGGGCAGACACAAAGTGAGGGACAGGACACGTCGGATGGACAGTGGGACAGAGCCTCGAGTCTGAGCCTCCAGGGATCACCCCCACACAGATGTTGCCGCTTCCCTGCCACACCTGGAGTCCCGGAGTGGTGTATGGGAGTCCTGCTGCGTCATGGACAGGAACTCTGTGACATCGATGGTCCCCTCTTCCAGCTCTTCCTCCTCATCCTCCTCTTCCTCCCGGCCCATGGAACGAGACAGGCTCCCAGGGCCAACCGGCCGCATGCTCTCCGGATTCAGCTGCCGCCAGGACGTGGTAGGCATGGTGGGTTCTGGACGCCACCAGCTGTCAGCCGGGGACCCAAAGCGGTCAGCTAGCACTCGGTACTTTGCAGCATCGAACAGTTCATTCCTGGGACCCAGCAGCCCCCAGCCCTGAGGGGCAAAGGGACACATGAGGATCACCCCATCCAGAAGGTGAGGCAGCCTGGACCCTGGTCAGCTACACTGAGTCCCCCTAACCTCTCGCAAACCCCCCTCCCCCAGTCTACAAAAGGGCACGAGAGAGCACAAACAGGCCTGGGCTGACAGAAGGTAACAAGATAAAGGCCTTCAGCTACGAGACCGAAAGAGTAAAGGAAATGAAATCCACAGGGACGCCGAAGCTGGCAGACCCCGTAGTGATGAGCAGCTGCAGCTGGCGCAGCCCACACCGCCAAGCAACTGCAACTTCAGACACACGGTTGGAGGTGGGTGCAGTCAGAAGAAAGGACAAGTGTGGGTAAAGCCACAACACAAAACATCCAATACAAGCTCAAGGGTCCAAGTCCAACACGTGACAATAAGGTGTGTTTCTCCACTCCAGCTGCAGTCTATCTGATGAGACCAAGAGTGACCCATCACCAAGAACAAAAATACAGCAGTGAGAGGCGCAAAGGGGAGAGGACATGGGAAGAATTCAGATGTGTCCTATGCCCGTGTGTGTACCAGCTCCCCACAAAGAGCCAGTCTCTATGAGCTCAAAAAAGGCTAATAACAAATAATTGGAATAATTAGGTAAAACTTCCTATATTTATTTATTTATTTTTTTAAAAAAATATTTATTTATTTTTATTTATTACATTTATTTATTGTGTGTGTGTGTGGCCAGCTCAGCCCACCAGGGGGCGGGGCTGGCTGGCATGTGGTGCTGGGGGATTGAATCGCGGTCCCTGAGTGCTTTGCCAAGCTTGTTTCAAGTAGGTGCTTTAGACCACTGAGCCATCTCTCCAGCCCCAACTTCCTATATTTAAATAAATGTATAAAATGATTATGAATGAGTATAACCCAAGGAGGTAAAAGATCTGTACATTAAGAAGTATAAAACAATGATGAAAGACTGAGAAAAACACACACTAAAAGCTATTCATAGATAAATTAGTAAATGCTTCCAAATGTTACACACAGGCTCAGTGCAATCTCGCATAGTTCCAATGGTATTTTTCAAAGAAAAACCACTGCTGACTCAGGAAGTCAAGGTAGGTCACTCAAGTCTGAAGCCAAGCTAGGCAACTTATCAAGATTTAAAAGTAAAAAGGACCAAAACACAACTGTAATACCAGCACTCCGGGGACGCTGAGGCAGGACTGCAAATTCAGGCCTAGCCTAAGCAACTTAGTCCAAAGGCCCTGGGCTCAATCCTAAATATGGGCAACGGGAATGCACGGTGGTGCGCACTTGGGCCATTGGGACACAAAGACCCCAAATTCACAGCCAGCCCAGGATACATGACGACACCATCTCAAAACAAAAAAACAAAAAACAAAAGAAACCTCCCTGAGGGGCAAATTCCTCTTGGGTTGACAGCCCTTATACACGAGATAAGTTTTGAGGTTATACACAGAAGAGAGGCTTGCCGATCCCAAGCTCCCAGGGACATGGAATAGAGAAGACATCTCAGAGGGTTAGAAAGCAAGCATGACCTACAGAGAAAGGGAAGCAAGGTCACCAGGCAATGCCAGAGCCAGAGCACTGAAGCCGAGCAAGGCCAACGAAAGCTGACGGCTCTGCCACTAGCCTGGGTCAGGCACTCAGCGGTCACCTAGTGACCACAGCTAATGCCACGATCTCCAGGGACAGGAAGGTAACCAAGGCCAGACATGACACTGGCATGGACAAAACACAAACCAGAAGCACAGGGTCGATTTGCCCTGGGAACAGAGCCAAGGGAATCAACTGGGAGACAGTACATTTGAGATCATGGGCGGGTACTCTTAAGGGAACACATGTGAAAGTTCACCATCAAGACAGAAGA